TCAATGTCATCTGAGTATGAGCTATACTGGTTTCAAATATTCTGAATTTCCACAGACCCAGGTCTACATTAAAAAAAAATGGCACAAGTTCTGGAAACAAACACATCCATGATTGATCACCCCAAATTATGGTAGTTATTCATCACTGAGTACTGAAGAGGCTTTAAACGCTTGGCAGAGTCACTTCTGTTGATTTATCTTCATGGATCCCCCATACCCAAGGACAGTCAATCTAGATACTATGTTCAAAGTAATGACCATATTATGAAAGGGTAAAGATGGCAGCAGAGAGCTTGAGCTTAGATCAACATCAAAACACAAACAGAAAAGAGGTTTGTGATGTGTAGTGCGTGGTGTTCTTTTAGTTAATTTCTTGGCAGTCCCAATCTTTCTGCCTCAGCCTCCCAAGAATCTCAGACTACAGTGCATGCCATGGCACCTGTCTCTGGGCTGTGATTTTTTTTGAAGAATTATTTTATTATTACTTTATTGAACTTTTAAAAATTATTTGTTTATTTATCTCTATTTGACCAGAGAGGGACAGAGAGAGAGAGAAGTGGGGGAGTGAGAAAACAAACCACCAGGTCCTGGACCCGAACCACAGTCGGCCATGTGGGAGTCCAGCGCCCTTAACCACCACGCAACCTGCCAGCCCCTGGGCTGTGATTTTTAGTGCTTACTCAATGAGTACTGGTGCTCCTTAGGCAAAAGTCACCCAGAATATGTCCTATTAATTATTTGTTTCTTCATGACACACACAAAAAGACCCCTTTGTTTTTTTTTTAAAGTTACTTTGCAGTTATTTAAAGGAATTCCAGCTGTCAAGGTGGTCAGTAAAGTTACTTTACAGTGAGTTAAAGGAATTCCAGCTGTCAAGGTGGTCAGTTATCATATGCTTCCTGACATAAATAAGAAGCCATACTGCTTATACAAGGACCAATATGGTTGAACATTGTGCCCAGTACATTTCTGGGACAAGGTGACACTGTCATTGATGGTCTGTTGAAGGAAAAAAGCTGATTTTCTTTTAGCTTACGCTTTCAGTAGTAACTTAATTAGGCCATGCTGTAAAACCATCACTAATAACTGTCAGAAGTACCCCCTGAGTCACCAGAGAATGACACAGCTTGGCCAATAGCCTCTTCCTTGGAGGAGAAGCCTATTTCACCTCCTCTCTCTCTGAAACTGTCCCCCAAGGGCCACCAGAGATCCCAAATCTCCCAGCCTGCATTCCTCCTACCTCTAGCCAAGACTTCATGAGTGTTTCACATATACATATGCATACACATACATAATACACACACACATATGTAAAATAACATTTTAAGAGAACCAGTTCCATAGCCTGATGGTTAAGGCAACAAGATCTCAAATGGCTGACTGCAGTTAAAATCCTGGCTCTGGCAGTTTGAAAAACACATGGGGCACACGTGTGTGTGTGTGTATCCCAAGTCCTGACAGGATGGAGAAATGGAGACGGGATTGCAGTGTGAACACTTCATTGCAGAGTGCTTGCCCATGCTGAGGTTCTTTAATTTGAATTAGTTGCCAAGAGAAATCATGGGTAACTCTTAAAATTTAGGTTTCTGACAGTCTAGCCTGGAAATAAGTGACTGAGTCTATCTTCAGGGTCTACACTGCCCATATTGCTATAATCCTCCCCCCCACCACCACCATTGTCATTCACCAAGCCTGGCTACTCATTGACATCACCTGATTTCTATATGCATTTAAGTTTGTACCTTTCATTATTGTCTTTGCCACTATAGATCAAGCTGCAGGTAATGCATTCAGCAACTTTTCACTTCTGTTCCATTATTTCTTGAGGCTATATTTCCGAAAGCAGGCTTGCCAGGTATTAATATGAGAGTACTTCAGGAAGTATGTGGAGGGCTGCCCCTATCGCACGTGGGGAACCCTCTACACAGCAAGCCAGATGCTACATGGGCAACCACAGTTCAAGTCCTGGCTTTGGCTGGTTGAAAAACAACGGGAGTGTGAGTGTTGAATGTCTAACTCCTGTGGGATGGAGAAACGTAGGAAAAGGATTGTGGAGTGACCATGCCCCCTTTGGGGGTGCTTTCTCTCTCGGTGAGCACATGTGCCCTCTAGCAATAATTTTTAAAAATCTGTGAAAAATGGAATAAAAAAACAAGCTTATTTTGGTGCAACAATTCTTTAAATCCATGAATTTTTTTTCAATGTGTTATTTCCCATCAATTTTTTGAAGACCCCACATACACTGTGGCTCTTGACATATTGTACTGCACTTGGGATTCCTTTGGGACACAGCCTTCGTTTTGTACACAGCTGCTCTACTTTCACCTCTGGAGAAGCCCAGCTGAGCTGATCCTACCAGACCCTCTTTCTTTCTTTTTTTTCTTCTTTCTTTTTTTAGGTCACGTGCGCTTGCCAGACAGACAGAGACAGAGAGAGAGACAGAAAGCATGAAATCCCCAGGGGGGATGGCCACGCTGCAATTCGTTCTCCTCCATTCTCCTCTCGGGATCCTGGGTACATGCACACATGCACCCAGTGTGAGTTTAAGCCACCGGGTCCAGGACTCGAACCATGGTCAGCAACATAGCCATTATGCCAACTGCTGGTCCCAGACCCTCTTTTCTAAGAATTTGCAGATTGAATTTAAAGATGTGTGTGAGTGGATCACTTAAATCGAAGAAAGCTAAACATTGGCAATGGAAGGAGTGATTAAATGCATGTGGAAAAGAAAAAAATATTTTTGCCAGGAAAGTGGAATAAGATACAAAAGGGGATTTAAAAAATTAAAAGAAAAGTGGAATTAAAGTACAAGTTTATTTTGGTGCAAAACAGAAATTCTAAATCCATGTAGAGTTTTCCATAATATTCATTTTCCACAAAATTTTCCAAAATCTCTTGTGTATGGACAGAGAGATAGCAAGGCAAGCATGGAACCCAAAGAGAGAGAGACAAAGAAAGTGAGAGAGAGAGTCAGGGTCAAGCTACTGAAGGCGGAGGTCAGAGGCCACTCACATCCTGGTTCCTGATGCTCCACATTTCCTTGGATTCTAAAAGCTCCTCAGACATATTGCCAGAGAGCGCCCGTACTCACCAGAGAGAGAAAAGCACGCCCCCTCCCACCCATTGCAACTCCCTTTCCTCTGTTTCTCCCTCCTGTCAGGATTTGAGGCATGCACATACATGAGTTACATGTTTGATCAAGCTGCCTGGACAGGGACTCAAACCACAGTCGTCCATGTGAGAGCCAGTTCTCTTAACTACTAGAATATAGGACCGCCCCTCCTTTTCATTTATTTATTTATTTTTTACACCAAACTAAATTTATACTTTTCCCCACGGACTTTTTGAGGTCTCTGCATCTATCTTGGCAAAGCCTTTTTCTGGACATTACACTTTGGGGATACTTTCTCACAGCCACAGTTCGCTCTTTAAATTTCCGTAACATGTTTTTTATTTTGAAGTCCAGTTTATCATTTTCCCCCACTTATTTACTGATTGAAAAATTAAGATGGCATATATTTACGATGTACGATGAGGTTTTACTATATGGACACATTGTGAAATAGCTAACTCAGGCTAGCTAACCTATGTGTTACTTCATTTCCTTAATTTTTTTGGTAATACATTGAATATCTATCTATTGAAAATCTACAGTAGTTTTCGAGTGTGTATCATATATTGTCACCATGATGTACAATAGATCTCTTGAATGTGTTCGTCCTGCCTCAAGTCTCTCTTATGCTGTTGGTGTCCTAACACATACTTGCCTGGGGCTGGCAGGTGGCGTGGTGGTTTAAGGTGCTGGACTCCCCCATGACTGACCGTGATTCGAGTCCCGGACCTGGCGGCTTGTTTTCTTGTTTTTCCTTTCTCTCTCTGGTCAAATTAAAATAATAATAATAAAAAATGGAATGAAATATATAATTCTTTAAAAAAAAAAAAAAAAAAAGGAAAAGAAACACTTATCTAACCTGAAGTTACGAAGCTGTTTGTGGTTTGGTTTTGTTGTTCTTGGTAATCCTATAGCTGCAACTCGTATGTTTAGGTCAAGAGAGGGTTTGGAGCAAAGAACTGACATTTTCTGGCTGCTGTGCTACAAGTATTGCTTTGCCATGTTGATCTGCTGTGCTACAAGTATTGCTTTGCCATGTTGAGGTGAGACTGGGGGCTGGACGGGACTGAGGAGGATGCTCATTAGGAAACAGCTGCAGTAACCCAGCCTTGGGCCACGCTGGGCAGAGCGGAGGTGGTGAACAGGGGTCAAATTCCGGAAATATTTATCAGTGAGGCTTTCAGCGTATGTCCTTCATCCCTCCTTGATGAATAATATCCAATTTGAAGGAAAGTTATTTCCTTTCTCTGAAGGCTCAAGGGCTTGCAGTTTTACATGAAGCCAAGTGCATGTACAGAACCTGTCCTGAGCCTTGAGTGCTTGCTGTACATTCGAACTTATCTTCACCATTTTGAAGAAAATAGCTAGTTTCAATTTTTACCCTACAGGTTGTCAATCTTCATATATGGCAGCCCCAAACACAACATGAAACCTTATCTATTGTTTCCTAAAAGATTTTTAAAAAGGAAACCGAAACATTTCACATCATGCTCGGTGTCACTTCTGCTAGGACTTATAAGTCCATGTCTCTCTGCCTTGGCCAGTTCAATCCAGGTCCAACCTTTTCGTTAACTCATGATTTATTGCTGTTGAATGATTCCTTTTTGCCAAGTTTATAAACTTAACTGTTCTTTTTATATAATTCCTACTTTGTACATTAAGCAACAAGACAGTAAATTTATTGTCTATGAATCGTACCTTGAAAAATTACATCAGTGCAAAGTGATTGCCTTTCAGCCTCCATAGCCAATCAATTAATTATTCTGGAGGAGTTTATATGAGGTCATAGGATGATAATATATATAAACAGGGGTCACAGAATGAGAAAGAACAAGTTGAAAGTTCTCTACAACAGACACCCAGAAGGAAGATTTCCGTCTTACCAATCATGTATAAGCTGGCCTCTTGCTGTTTGATTGTCGTGGGGCTCTTAAACCCTCTCCTCTCTCTTCCTATCACTGATTCCAGGGAAGTGTTCCTTCAGCTCTCAGGTAAGATTGTTTCCCCTTATGTTAGTCTTCAAAGAATCTTTGTCAGTTTTTTAAATGCAATGCTAGAGATAATGTGGAATCCCTACTGCACATTTTGGATTTAGTAATGGATATAGACTTTTCTTTCTAAAATGTAGAAAATGAGTAGCATTGCTTATTTCATGTCACCTCTGTAATTAAAACTTTTGGTCATATTTTTTTTCCAGTTTAAAAAACTGCACTAAATTTAAAACTCACCACTTTTACTTTTTGTTTTAAATGAACTGGTGACTGTACAATAGGTTGTTCAATGATAGATTAATACTGTTTGTTGTATTTTATATGAAATTAAAAGCAATAATTTGATGTGTTGCATACAACATTTTTAAAAATAATAAAGTGTCAGCTGGAGGAAGGGATAGAACAAATTCCCAAATTCATTTATCTTTTCTTTTTGATTTATGTTCTTTCAGCTTATGTCCAAGTCAAATTTTAAAAAGCTCTATCAGTCAACTGGATACCTACTTTGCTATAATCTCTTTAATTTAGTTTAAAAAATGAAAAGGTTGGGTAATAAGTTCCATAAATAACTTTACTAAATATAATCTTTTCTTTAATTTTGGATACTTTTTTTTTAAATTAAAAAACATAGATGCTTTTCTAAGCCACTGATTTTAAGAGTGTTCATCTCTAAAATTTCTTCCAGGCAGCTTTCTGGTACTTTTCAAGCACTGTTAATCTTGCCTGCATTCACTATCAGTCAACTTCTGGGTTACTGAGCTCATAACTGGCAGTCATCTTTCAAAAACCGAACTTTACTGAATCTCAGACATTTTTAAAGGGGTAGTAAAAATCTTCCCTCTTTCAAGAAATCAAGGATGAATATTTGGATATTACTGTCATCTTCAAAAATTTACACATAATTATTAATTTTATAAATAGATTAAACAACTGTAGCATCTCAAATTCTAAACAGGTGACAACTCTATAGTTTTTGACAGACTTTTTTCTTTCTCTCATTTTTTTGGTTCTCCATAAACGCTGTGAATATGCTCAGATGCCTTTATAATGGTTTCACTGTCTTCCAATCAAGGTTGTAGGCTAAATATTTGTAAACCTGCAGCAAGCTGTTACACACGGCCTCTCATCCCGACTTCCAGAGTAACCCCTGGCCAAGAGGCTGCTCCTGAGGCCAAGTCTCCACTTCCCAGATCTTACCCGCACTTAACCAACATCTTCACACTTTAGCATCCACCTCATACACACTTACCATCAATCGTATATGCCATTTAGGGGACCAAGTTTCACGTTGGAAATGTCGCATGAAGTCCCTTAAAGATTATTTTGGAGCCTGTTCTTTTCTTATTATAATTGTGTCTAAATTTTGAATCTAGTAAGAGGTATAATAATTGTGTCTAAATTTTGAATCTAGTAAGAGGTGATATCACCTTATTTGTTTTATAGCAAGAACATAAACACTTTTTTTCTCTCCAATTTCACCACTCAACTATCTAAAAGGAAAAGGCAATAGGCAGCAGATAAACAGAAATGAAAAATCACTTTTTTTTTTGTAATGCCAGAGAGAACATGTGCATCTACTCACATGAGAGAGAGAGGGAAA